ACGGAAGCAGTTCCGGGCGGATGACGTAGGATGTCGGCGTTGCGCATGCGCCACTCAGAAGTGATGAACGCGGAAGCGCAGGGGAGAGATCAAAACAAAACAATGGTCAGGAATTAGAAGTACGCAACGAGGATTTGTAAAGAAGAATGTCGGAGGATTTCGATATAAGCCAAGAGGAGACTGGTTTTCCTTTGCTAAAGTAAGGAAACTTTGTTTCCTTTGCTCCTGTAAATAAACGTTGATTTTCACAAGACTCACCGGCGCATGCGCAACGCCAACATCTTACGTCATCCTCCCGGAGCTGCTTCCATGTACAACTGTTGGCACAAGCTAGATTAAAGTGATTATTATGTTTTGAATATGGATATTTTTCTTACAAAAACGCATCGATTCGCTACAGGAGGCCTTTGTTTGCCCCCCGGAGCCGTGTGAGGCACTTTTTATTATGGATGGATATGCTTTATTTCACTTCTTTTGCACTGATGAACTGCAACACTTTTTTATATAACTCCGATTGGATTCATCTGAAAGAAGGAGGTCATATATGCCTAGGATGGCTTGAGGGTGAGTAAATAATGGGCTAATTTTCATTTTTGGGTGAACTATCCCTTTAACTCCATCCACATTTTGATTAATTCAATTCCCTGCCATATTGGAGAGAAATAAAGAGGCACGTTGATCTACCAATTGCGGGTTTATCGTGCTGAAAACTCTTCGCATGTGTTTGCATAATAATGCATTCAAAAGACTAAACGTTTGTAAAAGTTCACAATATTGTTGCAGATGAAATATAGCGCAGATAACAGTAAATATTAGGGCTGGGATGATAAGCTAATCTGCCGATTCAATGCTATTACGATACTGTGCCGAGTCAATATATATTGCGACAAGTGAGTATTGTGATTATATAACTATTGCGATTCGATAGTACAATTTATTGTGATTTTTGTTTGCTTATTAAAGACTAGACAATGGAAAATACTTGATCATACCCTTAAACAGAATGTATATGATGAGTCATATTAACAAATCAATGCATCACATCTTTCTGAATAGTGTTGTCAAAAGACCCGGTATTTCGGTACCAAGTCGGTACTAAAAAAATGAAAACGTTACG